TCCTGCCTCTAGTCTCCCAATGGCTTTCTATAGTAGTTCTGCAGGCAAATGATGCCTGGAGATCATTGTTACGAATAGGCTATCTCAGATTTCTGATATCACTATCACAGTGAAATGTGTGGGCTTGCTCTCAAACATGGACTTTTATGCTCCTCGCAGATGCCGTATTCCAAGTACAGCGGAGACAGGCTAATTTGCATATTGGAGTTTTATTCAGCTAATCTTACTTGGCAACATATTCAAATTTTACATGGTTTGGCTTATTTTTGAGGGAGTTATTGCTATTTTTGTGATTTTTCCTTACTTTATGATAACTAGTATAGTAATATTAACTGTAATATTTTTTTAAAAAAATCAACTTTTAAAACAGAATAAGAAAGAAATATGTATATAAACTTGTACATGCCGGACCAGACTGAAAGCTCACCACATGAGTGGATAGTAACAATTAAAAAGGCATTATTCAGGTTACACTAACACCTTACAGAAGGTTTTGACAAATAAATGTAAAAATCATGCATATTAAAAAAAAATCTTTATCAATTCCATACTTTGTAGCATTAGAAAAATGTTTCATAAATTAAAGCTGCAAATGCTCATAAAAATTACTCATTAGATATATCATAAATAGAATGTTTTTTATTCAATGATATACTTATTAAAAAAGTAAAATATATATATATGTGCAAGATAAAAATTCTAACTAAAATTAGCAATAGCTCCTTAACTCTTCATTTTAATTTGAATATTTCCCCTTTTTGTTCTAAAAATATTAACTGCATATAATAAACCTGTGTCAACTACATCATTTCAAAATTAATAGCCTCCATTATATGACTTTTTATGTAATGCTAAGTAAAAGAACTATTTAAAAAAAAAAAAAACAATATATATATCCTATTACTCTAACATTTACAGATACATGGATGATGATATTGCAATCAACAACTTCAATAAAATAGAAAATGATCACATTTATCCCTAATGTTTGAAACTCAATAAAACTAACTTTCAACAGGGAGACCTAGATTAATTAATTACCTGGATTTGTAAATGATCAATCTAAAGATATTAAAATTTAAGACAAAAGAGATTTCATCTACTGGCATCCAAATATCTCCTAAAAGAGTAATACTACTTAATATCATACATACTCAACTAATTAGAATGAAAAATATTTGCAACAATGTCAAATACTTACAAGAAGAAATCACTAACTTGGACAAAATTCTCTTAGAGAATAAAACACCTTTATTAAAAATTTCTATATCTTTAAAGAAAGCTGGTATTAACTAGTTTTTTAAAATTTCTCATCTAAATTGAAATGATAATTATTACTTAAACCTTAATCGAAGATAATAGTTGGATGATAACAACAGAAAATTTAATGTAAATATGTACAAAGATCTTGTTTCTTTCCCTTTTAATTATTATTCATACTATCTTTCTGCTATTTTGAAAATTTAAATAAACTGACAAATTTTGCCATTACTAAAAAAATGGGGTTTCTAGTACTGTACCCCGATTACGTGAAGACTTATATAACCTGAATATTTCCTTTTCCCTCAACTTTAAGTCAGTTTTGTTTTAGCATTTTGAGATTTTACAGAGGACAGCATCTTTTAGAAAGTTTCTTCTGCCGTCATGTTGGAGTTGACATTCACTCTCATTATTGGTAATAATTTTAACAGACTGCACCCTACGTTTTGCACCCCAACACACAAAGTTTAACAGGATAGGACATTTTGAACACATGTTTAAATACTTTATTATGCTACTGAGCATTTTGAACCTAATTGCATACTTTTACTAAGAAGTAAAAACTTTTGCTTCACCCTCTGGAGAAGCAAAAATTAAATAAATTCAACTTTATTTTGCAAGGAACAGTGGAAAAAATAGGTCGTCTATAGAATTCACTAAGTTTACTTTTTGTTTCAAATATGTTTTCAATTTTTAGCTGTTTAAGGCTCAGATTAGATTTTATATTATTAATAGAAAAAATGTCTTCTGAAAAGTTTTTCATTTTCTTGGTATTAAAAGCTTAGGATCGCATAATCGGGGACCAACCAGTTTTTCAGTGTTGTTTAAATGACAATCTGATTAAAAGTATACTTGTTTCGCTCTTTAATTTGTAATTGCTTTTGAATGTCGGATTTACATATGTTATTTGACCAAATTGTGAGGGTTTCTTTTTTTGGGGGGGGGGCGGTCAATTTACACAATCTAAAGTTTTATTGTTTTTTTGAGTAGTCAGTTTGGCATAATGTAATATTTTATCCATTTTTCCAAGCGTTTTGAATGCTTGTAGAGAAAACTCTGGATACACATGAGATTTGATTTTTCGGTTTAAAATGAAAGTTTAATTGAATCTTTTTTGAGTTTTTGATCTCAAATGAACCAGAAGAACAAAACGTATTCGAAACATATTAATCGACCTTTATGAAACTTAATTCATTTTTCCCTGATGAGTTCTGGATTGGAGTTTCAGTAAAAAGAGATTAATTTTTATATTTTTATAATTTTATATATATTTTCTTTTTTTGTTTTTTGAGTTTGTTCTACTGATGAATTCTTATTTTAATTTTTGATATGTTTAGATACAGTGTTAAACCTTTTATCCACGGTTGCAATTGCTAATACTGTTGAAGAATTGCCTTTCTTTGATTCCAATTTAATTTTAACTTCAGATGCTTTAAGTTTAATTTATGCACATACACACACATATATATATTCAAGATGAAAATATGTAAATTAAAATTCTAACTTAAATTAGCAAGAGCCCCTTAACTCTTCATTTGAATTTGGATATTAGCTTTTTTTGATCTAAAAATATTAATTGCATATAATAAACCTCTCTAAACTACATCATTTCAAAAGCAACAGCCTCCATTATATGACTTTTATGTAACACTAGTGACGTAAATGGTTTTGCAAATTAAAACTAACTAGCCAATAATAATTTTAGAATTATTAATTGGCCAATCATATGATATCAAAATTAAAACTAATTCCTTCTGAGATAAGATTTTGTTTTGAACACATTGCACTTCCTTTCTACTTTTTATTTCAGGCAGTGGCAACATACTGTTTTTAAATTATCCGAAAATTGTTCATAAAAATTTATTAAATTTACATAAAATATAAAATCAATTAAAAAAATAAAATTCGAGTTTTAAGGTGCTGGACTACACATATTCAAAATCTGGTGGCTCTAAGTACCATCTTTCCACAAAGTATCAAACCTGCATAAATGTTTTTCATTTTTTAGTATTACTTATTATACTAGCTATAAAATTTTTGCATTTTATCAATTCACATCATGTATTTGATCAGTCCTTGAAATTACTTTCCAGGAAATCTATTTTGTGCTCACCTTGGTACAAAATATCAAGCTGAAATTAAGAAACTGCAGAATATAGATACCTCGTGTCACAAATTTCAAAGCAGACTAGTTTATTTTTCTAAGAAAGAAAATTTAACTAAAATTTTACATAATGATGAAAAAAGGAAAGTTCTTGACAATCCAAAGGCTAAATTATAAGAGGTACAAGTCTGAAATTGGCAAGTGGAATAGTATTAAAAGTGGAGGTAAATTACTCATGAAAACGTTATTTTAATTCTTATTAATATGAGTTACATTTATCTATTATTTGGATAAAAAGACAAAAATCTCCATAAATCTGCCAAATTAATAAATATTTTGTACTGATAATATGTAACAGCAATCAACACATTCATTCTTTTGTCTGAATGGTCCTTCGTGTAGTAATAATTTTATAACCAATATGACAAAAGATTTCATTCAAAGTTAATGATAGCTTCATTCAGATTTTTTTTTTTTTCCCAGAAAATTGATTGACACATATAATACAATGAAAAAAATCCCTGATATTTGAGGATTCGATTAAGACATATACATTTTCTTATTATTTTCATCAAATTAATTAGTTAAAAAGCAAATTTAAAAAAATAATTAAATCTGAAATGGTTTAGATTGTAACAGTAGTCCAAAAGGGCTCCAGCCTTTAAAGTTAAATATGGTTTATCAATAAAGATTATCATATAGAGATGGTCTGAGTGGAACAGCAAAACATTTTATATAGGATACTATGGTTTGGTTTATTTGATTTATGGCAAACCACATGAGAGCTATCTGACCAGGGGGAAGGATGCCTTTGTGAAGGACTTTCTAAGAGAAGTTGACTCATATACACATTAAACATGGGGGGGGGGACTATGCAATATGCAAATGCACACGCAGCCAGCCCATTCATCAGGACTCAAACAACCAGTGTTCAGCAACTTACATTTAGGCTAACATGGGAATGTTTTTAATCAGATATATTATGAATTCGATGCACTTTAATTTAAATCAATCACATTAAAAAGTAAAAAAATAATATTCTTAAGAACTGCATACATTGCTTTAAAATAGTTCAGTTTGTTAATAAATAACAGATTAAATTTGAAAAATATCTTACATTTTTCCAAACAGCAACAGACTCAAATGAAAAGTTAAACACAAAATCATGTTTTGGCACTTAACAGCCCAACTAGGGACCCACTGTAATCAATTTCATGAAAATATCTCATTATGTTCAGCTTTCTGACAAATGAAAATTCACATGATGAAACAGTTTGATATTATACATTTAAAAATTATTTAATACTTTATAAAGAAAACTATTTCACTTACCATTTAATCAAATTAATGGCAAAGCAGACTCTAAGAGCAGCACTCGGACCATTTTTTTTATGGGCAAAGAGCCATACAATATTAACAAGCCGATGCAGCATGACTTAGTATAAGTTGCATATATTTTATTAACTGACTTTAAAGGCACCAAGTAATTATTTTACTCATTAATCACATATTTTGTAAAAGAGTACACCAATAAATTAGTGTAGAATTTTAAAAACTCCAAAAATGTATTTTATTACAAATATTTATATGTGCAACAGAAATTCACATACACATTAAATTCACACACATCACATAATTCACACAATTCACACATTTATTAAAACTATATACAAATGTCTTAACGAAAGTATTTTATTTTGTTAGTCATCAGTGGTAATGCCATATTTTTTCTTGACTTTCTCCAATTCCTCTGCTTTCTTATCTGTATCCACCTTTTTAAATGCCTATAAAGGAAAATATTTTGATTACTATTCTAGACAAAAATGCATCTTATTTTTCTAGCATTAAACAGAAACATCTACACATAAACATTTTTATTTAGTTTAACATTATTACTACTTTTTTAGAAAATACAATCAACTCCAAATTCACCAGGATAATAACAACGACTTCCCTGGGCTATTTATTCACAGTTAACTCAAAATCATTGTTAATGGGAGACAATGCAAAAGATACAGAAAATAAGTATAACCCACATTATAATCAACAGAAATAGAAGTATACTATTAATAATTTATTTGCATATTGAAGAAGTTTAATTTGGAGTATAATATGCTGACAGTTTTGTTTCGTGCTGATGACTTACAACAGTAACTTTTCCATCAATCTAATTTATCAATAAGTGTATGTCTTCTATGGAAAAAGAGGAATGTAAAAAAATAGATGGCACTGTATACAACTTAACCCCTTAATTGCCACGGAAAACATACAAGATTCATTTCCCAGTGCCACGGTTTTTCACACAGGCGCGCATAGTTATGTGATGTATTGGGAGGGGGGGAAATAAGTGTAAGTTTTACTTACTAAAAACTGTTTACTTCCACTAAATAAAAAATAAATGCACAAAATTTAATGTTTTGGGTAAAAGTATAATAAAAAGATGTAAGTATAATAAAAATGACGTTTTCATAATAAAAAAGATCCCTAAAATGGAGTTGATTCATTTATTTTTAAACCAGTAAAGTGTAATATCAGGTTTCGGTGTTATACCGTATGAAATCAGTATGCGTAAAAAAACATATATTTCTTCTGAACTGGTTGAATGCCATGACTTTGTTCTTGATTTTTTGTTTGCGTGGTGTTGGTTCATATACTCGTCTACAAAAAGGTTAGTTTCAGTAACAATATGAAGCACGAGCAGTTCATCAAAAAGATAAATGGGTTTGAAACATCCGTTATATCTTTCTTTATTCCTGGAACCTACTACAAAAAGTAAACGAAAACGGAGGACACAGAATAAACAAAAATATGTTTTACTCAAACAACACCAGCCAATACTGCGCAGTCATTACTTTTACCGCTTTAGACACATCCCTCTCTCCAATTTCTCCCCACACTTCTCTGAAATAGCATCCTCCTTCGCATACTTTGTCAAGGTCATTGTGGTGTTGCATTCCAAAGCTTTGTGAATAATTTTATAGGTAGCAATGCAAAGCAAATGATAGTATTCTGGGGCAGTTAATGCATTGGCTGAGCAAGGCATATATATATGCACGCCCGTGGCAGTTAAGGGGTTAATAGCTGCACAGAATAAAAATTTCCCTCTGCAAGAAATTCTTAACTAATATTAATTGACATTTGTATGCTGTGTGGCAGACAGGGAATGTAATCATGAATCAAACTCTGATGATGATTTTTAGTAATATTCATTTCTGTTCCTCGGGGCATTTTTTATTTTAAAAAACTAATCTTTTGACTAACTACTAAAAAATAGTGCCTAGGTCAGATTCATTTTTTTAAAATAAATTCCACAAACCTATCATCAAAATACAAAACTGATATCATACTAAAATTTGAAATAAAATCAGTCAGTCAAATGACAGCACCTGTTGTTTGCTTACGCGACAAACTCTTACGCTATCAGCGTATCACGGACTCTAAAGAGACTACTAAATTCTAAAGTATTCATTTATTTAATAAAACATCACTCAGGTATATAACATACAATTCATCTTCAAAAGGCCTAACCAACTACAGAAACATATTTTCCTAATTCTATGAATTGCCCTGCTGCCACTCTCATGAAACCAAACTAACAACAATTATTAGTGGCCAAAATTTAAAAGTAATACATACTGTAAAACTACAAGTATAATTTAAGTAAAAAATTAGGGAAAGTAAGTACAAAATACAAACTACATTGTTTTGAAATCCAACATCCTCCCACATTAAGTTGTTGGGAAACAACTTAACCTATTAGAAATATTAAAGAAAAACTTAAATGGAAAAACATAAAAGAACTGAATTAAAGTCCAAACATTTATAAAGTCTAGTCTTTGGATAGTCTTGACTTCTCTTCCACTCCTGGTTTTTACAGATTTAATATCTTGGCTGTTTTCCACTGAATACCCTTCAACTCTAGCTTGTTCAAATTTTTCATTTTTTAGATCTTTGAACCAATTACATGAAAGTTCTAAAGGAAAAATTCTTTGTACGGGACGTAAAAGTTGTCCATTTGTAGTTTTCAATCGTACCAGTCTAATGGCATTGTCTCTTCCAGGTAACAATTCAGTAACAACGGCTAATGGCCACTCAGTACATTTAACATTATCAATTCCAACAAGAACTACGTCTCCAAGTTTGATATTTTGCTCATGCTTCTTCGGGTCATGTCTTTGAATCAAAAGCTCTAGGTATTCAGATCTGAATCTTTTTCGTATATCCGTGATTAGTTGTTGACGATATTTTAATCTCTTGTTGAGGGAATGCTGATCAATCTTATCCAAATCAGGAACGCCCGACTTTCGGAAATCTTGCAAAAATGAGTTAGGAAATAAAGGAACAAGTTTAGACTCCTTTTCTGAAACATAGGTAAGTGGATGAATGTTAATAACAAATTCCGCATCACACAATACCATTGTCATTTCTTCAAAAGACAGCAGAGATTTCCCCAAAACTCTTCTAAGAATTTGTTTCATGCCAACTAATTGCTCCCAAAAACCGCCCCACCAAGAGGCAGTTGGGGGATTGAAAAACCATTGAATTTTCTTAGTGGTGGTGTATTGAGGAACGACATTCCAATCAACGAGTTCCAAACAATTTGATGCTCCAATGAAGTTGCTTCCGTTGTCACAATAAACTAAAGAAGGACGACCTCTGTGGGCTATAAACCGACGAAAACTCTGAAGAAAAGCTTCTTTGGTGGTCGTGTGCTTAATGCATGATATAATTAAAGAAAATAAGAGTAGACAATCTCCTATAACAAAAGAATATATTAAATAATAAATTACAATTTAAATTACATTGCAGAGATCAACGCAGAGCTCAGAACACAGTTCATGCTACCTTCGCGTACAGTTGTTTTGCGAGAAGTCTGAGTGAGTAATGACGTCGCTTTGCTGCTCCGATTAAGAACTGGATTTTACACGTGGCGCCATCTCATGAGTAGAAGTTGAAGTATCTGTCGGAACGCCACAGTACTCCCCCCCAAGTACCATCGGTACGTTATAAGTACTTTGGGTTAAATTTAACCTTTCTTCCAGATGTGGTAGTTTTAGGTTGCTCTTCAACAGGATGTAAGCTTTCTTCCGGGAGTGATGTTGATGAGAAAGTTGTTGGATCTTGCATTAGAAATGCTGGTTTGAGACAATCGATTCCAATCACTGATTGTTTGCCATTGCAGATGATGGTGAAATGTTTCGGTGTTCGTTTGACAACTTTGAATGGACCATCATATGAAGGTGTTAAAGTTGGCTTAATCGCATCGTTGCGCACGAATACGTGCGAAGATGTCTCAAGCGCAGGATGTACAAAATAGCTTGGCTGGTTATGCGAAGATGCTGGGGTTAGCGAGATATTGGTCATGGTCTCACGTAAACGTTGAAGGAATGTTGGAAGGTCGATAACTTGAGTAGATTCTGGGTGAAAGAATTCACCTGGCAGACGGAGGGTTGCACCATATAACAGTTCAGCACAAGTGCACAAGTGCTACCAATGTCTTCTTTGAATGCTGTGCGAAGACCAAGCAAGACTAGGGGTAAGGCTTCTGTCCAGTGTGTGCTACTGTGGCACTTCAGACCTTGTTTGAGAGATCGGTGAAAGCGTTCCACCATCCCATTTCAAGATGGATGGTATGGTGTTGTGCGAATATGGCGAATGCCAAGAAGAGAGGTGAGGGATGCGAACAAGTGACATTGAAATTGTCGGCCTTGGTCAGTAGTGATGGTGGTAGGCATGCCAAATCTTGAAAGCCACTGGGAGATGAATGCTCGAGCTACAGTTTCAGCGGATATATTTTCAATAGGAATGGCTTCAGGCCATCTTGTGTACCGATCAATACAAGTGAGGAGGTAAGTGTAACCATTTGAAGGAGGCAATGGGCCAACCAAGTCTAAGTGCACATGATCAAAGCGTCTTGCTGGAAGGTTAAATTGTTGAATGGGGCTGTGAGTGTGACAGGATACTTTACACCGTTGACATCTAATACATGAACGAGTCCATTCTGTGATGTCTTGATTCATTGCTGGCCAGACAAATCTGTCTGCGATCAGCTTTTTGGTGGCACGGATTCCAGGATGTGCCAAATTGTGCAAGGCATTAAACACTTCACGTCTAAAATTGACAGGAATATAGGGACGTATTCTATTGTTCTCTATGTCACAGTAAATTTTTAGCGTTGGATCAATGTGCAGTGGTTGTTACTGAAGGGAGGTTTGTAGATTCGAGATTAGGTTCTTGAGTTCCTCATCATGCAATTGAGCTTTTGCAATTTCAGAGAAATCTGGAGTGGTAGTGAGGTTGATATTGTTTACCCGAGACAAAGCATCAGGCGAACACAATTATCAGTACCAGAGACATATCTGATGATCTGTACTAAACTGGGCGAATGAAAATCCAGACTGTCGAAGCTGACGAGGAGAACATGAGTCAGAGTTTTTCGAAAAGCGAAGGTTAATGGTCGATGATCGGTGAAAATGATAAACATTTTAAACTGAAGTCGTGTCCTTCCAGATTTGTGCCGGAAGTATTTAACAGCACAGTACACAGCAAGCAATAGCTCCCTGTCATATGTGCTGTATTTCCTTTCTGCAGGTGGTAAGTTTTCCTGGAGAAGAATGCCATTGGGGAAAGTCCTTTAGTGGTATGGGCTTGAAGCACTGCTCCTATGGCCGTGTCAGATGCATCTACCATTATAGAGAGCTTATCACTTAGGTGAGTGATAAGAAAGTGTGGCTGCATTTGCCAGATCGTGTTTTGCATTGCACGAAATGCTGCAGATGCAGAT